GGGGGGTTCTCTAAAAATATTTCAGACCTGAATGACTGTATGATAGAGTGAGAGAGAGACAGAGGGAGAGAGAGGCAGACAGAGGGAGAGAGAGGCAGACAGACAGACAGGAGGTCCATGCTTCCAAGTCGTGTGTGTAGAGAGCGCCTGCCTGCGTGTGTGTAACTGGTTGCCATGGTGAGGACACACCTGGTGTTAGAGGCAGACTGATTAAGAAATTACAGTAAACAGTGATTTTGAACAAAACCCCTAACTCCTTTTAACAAAAAGTTTCAGTGCCAAAATATGGATACCGTGAGAAAGATAAGACTCTGCTGAACGCGCTGATGTGTTTTTTATGTTTGTGGTGTTAATAATGTGAGCTCCAGAGCAATAGACAAAACTGGTACCGTCTGCTTTCTTTGAGAAATTAGTGGTGAGATGGAGCAGTTGGTTGGAGTTCATGTCTCTCTGCGGCTCTTTGAGCCAAATGTGTAAGTCCGTTGGATTCCATAGACACTTTACTGCGACCAGCACAACATTTCCAAGCTTTTGGGGCAAAAATGGTGTATAAAGAGTAAAAATTGTGGGAGCTAGAGCAATTTGTTTGGAAAAAAAAAAGACTATTTTCCTGCTCCACTCCGACAGTTATGCTCTCACTCTAGCTCTTAACGAGCCGTGCAATACACACCCATTATAAAATCTGAAACGGACCCAAAATTTTCCTGAAACTTAATCTGTGACTTCATGAAAACTGTGCTAGCTATCAAAATGTCCCTTTGGCTCAATAAAGTGCAGCGTTTTGTCTACGTTTTAAACTTTGAATCATGTTTCTACGTTAATGTACGGCTAGTCAATATGGGCCCAAAGTTAAGTGATTTTTTTGCTCTCTTCACGCCGGAAATTTTGCTCAGTTTTTCGGGAAAACTGCTGGGCGAATCTCTCCGAAAAATAGATAGCACACTATTCCCGATCAGGCCGCACGTTTTGGTGTATTTTTCACACCGCTGTTGGCAACGCTGTGTGAGGAGAAGCGCGCCAAACATTTTGGATAATAATTATTCAGTGTGGCTTTGTAGCACAAAGGCAGTAAAACTGCCTGTGCCAAAGCACACTATATAATCCATCGGGCTTAATCATACTAATAATAATCAGGTTTATCCAAAAGTTTGGCGCACTTCTCCTCACACAGCGTTGCCAACAGCGGTGTGAAAAATACATCAAAACGTGCGGCCTGATCAGGAATAGTGTGCAACACCCTTTAATCTAAAATGCAGAAAAGAGCGCAAATCTCACCACTCATTTCTCAAAGAATGCAGACGGTACCAGTTTTGTATATTGCTCTGGAGCTCACATTATTAACACCACAAACATAAAAAACACATCAGCGCATTTGCCAGAGTCTTATCTTTCTCATGGTATCCATATTTTGGCACTCAGACTCCTGCTAATTTGTTAAAAGGAGTTTGGGGTTTTGTTCAAAAATCACGGATTACTGCAACGTTTTTAATCAGTCTGCCTCCAACACCAGGTGTGTCCTCACCATGGCAACCAGTTACACACACGCACGCAGGCTCTCTCTGCACACATGGAGATATTCAGTCAAAGGCATTGTTAAACCTCCTGTCTGTCTGTCTCTCTGCCTGTCTCAATCTACACACACACGATATTCAAGGAAAGATCATTAGACCTCCCGTCTGCCTGTCTCACTCACTCAGTCTCTCTGTGTCTTTCTCTATCATACAGTCATTCAGGTCTTAGATATTTTTAGAGGACTGTCTCCTCTCCCCCTCTCTCACCCACCCAGTCAAAATAAAAGCCCCACAAATACAAGAGTATGAATCTAAAATGCAGAAACGAGAGTAGCGCTATCTCAATTGAACCTGAATGACATATTGTGTATATATTGCGATTTCGTCGGGCAGTAGAAGCCACACTGTCAAAATTTCTTTAGGAATTTTCTAGTTATTATTATTATTATTAGGCCCGATGGATTATATACCGTGTGCTTTGGCACAAAGCCACACTGAATGAATAGTTTAACTGTGCATCTTAGCATCTTCCATGCTGAAAGAAACCTTCAAAATCAGTCCACAACCATCAAGTTTCTGAAGCAAACCCGAGCCTCTGCTCAGACCCAGATGAAGTGAAGCAGACCTACCTGCTGGCTGCTGTTGAGTCTTTGACTTTCTTTCCCTCTAAAGAGGCCAAGTGCTGCTCCAGGGCATCAAGCAGGCTACTGGGGGCCTAGTGTGAATGGCATTGATAAGCATTAAGTTTCAGACTGAAGAAAGCCCAACACAAGAGTTCCTCTGAAGAAGGAAAAAACAACAACACTGAAGCATGCCAAGTTATTTCCAAGAGTCCACAAACAGAGACACTCCCAAATACGGAGAACAAGAGAGAAAAGGTTCACATACTTACACAAACTGTAAACTGAAAACGGAGAGATAGAAAGAGAAAAATACAGAAAATAAAGGTGGCAACAGTCAAGATGTTATAAAGAAAACCTCTGGGAGAAAGCTCTCCACTTCTGGCTTATCTGTTAGTTAGAAACTTCTACCAACAGAGCCTCCAAATAAGTCTATTTTTTACATAATGCACCACTTCAGCAGGTCACTGTTTTATACAAGATGGTTCCATCATATCACACCCTAAAACCCACACCTGTATTTGCTGTATGGCGTGCAAGGTTAGGAGTGAGTGTGAGTTGGAGGGTGTTTGTGAGAGCTATAGAGGGCGCATGCATTGCCTGCCTAGCATGCACAGCGCTTGGTGTTAAACCTCGTTAGGCCTGAACCTGCAGGGGTTAGCAGCCTGTGAAAAAAGTATCTTAGCCACATTTAGCAAGTTGCATATCATGGAGGTAACTAAAGCACTCGAGTACACGTAATGACCTGCAGTTGAAAGCTTGCAAACAGATAGAGATATTACGGTGTGTCAATATACTTCATGCCGAAAATAAAATGCTGCACGAGAGTATATTCTTTGAGAGTTGACAACTTATCAAGTTACCAGGAGTTTGTACAATATTGCCGAGTTCTATGTCAGCTCTGAGACTCACTTGATGCACATTATGGTCCAACAGTGGTCCTAGAAGTGTTACTGAGCTACAGGATGAACTAAAACATAGAAATAAAATACCAACACATTTCATCACCACTGTAGTTGACTGCCTACAATAATTATACGCTATATAGTCATTTAGAGATCTGAGTACTGGCTAAAGCAATCATAAGCTCCTCAGACATTTGAAAGGGTCCGTTCACCCAAACAAGATTTGCAAGCTGATAGTTTTGGTGTTATGTCTGGAGGTCTTGAGATGTTGACCTCTTGGAAAACTTTAGCTGGTACCCAAATTCAATAGATGTGAGTGGAGCTTTGTTTGAAAAACGTAAACATTTTTATCAACTACAAATGCAGCACAAACTAAATTCCACTCACTTCCAGTAGATTGCAGATGCAAGCTAATTCTCAGTGGTTTATACCTTAAGAGCTCAGCACATACAACAGAAACTACAGGCCTGGCTGGATGACAGTTAGCTTAAATGACCACTGGCTCTTTAACATATCAATGTAATAGCTGTGGTGTTTCACTAATACTAGCACATTACATAGGGGACGGACTCATTTAAAGCAGGTGCTCCTGCACATTGACAGTATCCTTGAAGTCATTATTGACATTATTCAGTAATGATTTGATCCGAAAAACACATTATCAATTAATACCCCCATTTGGCCATTGTCCTGTTTTAAGTTAAGCAAAGCCGGTGAAGAGATGAGGGGTGTAAAGTTAAGGCAAGTTGGTCAAAGTAATTGCAAAGAATCCAAACGGTCATCTTTAGATTTGCTTACCTGTGACAGATCTGGGATGTCCCCTCGATCAATTCCGACTTGCTGCAGGAAGAGAACAAAGACCATCATAGTCGGATAGAAAAAAACAGCCATTTCCTCTACATCCGGGGTCCTTTCTTACCTCTGCAACTTTGAGGAACTCTGAGATTCTAGTCATTCGTGTAAGGAATTTCTTGTAGATGTCGAGTCCTTCTTTGCACTGGACTTTCTTCATGTCAAAGTATTTCTCTGTTAAGAGACGGAGACAGAAAGATGACGACAAACACTATCATGATTTCCCTTAACTCTACTTTGATGTTTTTAAGTTCATATATTTACAGAACACAAGTCATAGTCTTATGGGTACAGTATTTCCATAGGGTACACACACACACACACACACACACACACACACACATCATTTAACAGGTGTCAGCAGACAACAGAAATGCTGGTAAATTCCATCTTAAGATTTGTTGTTAGATTTGCATAGTTAATATTGAATTTCTATCATATGGTCATGAGCATTGAGGACTACTGTACAACTAGTGTGATCCATTATATCGTAGCAGTCTTTTAGTTTATTTTCATTAGTTTGCAACAGTCCCCTAAAGTCTCTTTGGATTAAGCTTGTTGGAGGTCTGCAGTTCTAGGAACCCATCAGTTTTCTTTCAGTTTTTATGTTATAGACCAACATGAACTCTGTGTGACTGTTAATAAACATTCTATAAGCACATCCTTGCTTTCAAAGCTCAATGTAAAGTATCAAATACTTGCAAGGCTGCTGCAGTGATTAATTTAGACTTTCGCCTGGTGGCCCTCATCATACGTAGTAGCCTCTTCAAGTGTAACGCACTGGACATAAGGATAAGCAGAAAGTTCCAAACTGTGAATTAGCAAGGGCATGCCAACCCAAACGCTTGTTTTTACCCAGGAGGTTGATTATGCCCTCATTGTATGCTGCAAACAGTCGGATCGCGTCTTTGAACAGAAGCATGAAGGCTGCGTTGATCACACCATTTGTCAGTTCATTGGCATTGACCTGGAAGAGAGGTGGAGGTGTAGAGATCAGTTTAAAGTTCAGAGGAGAGCATTTGAAAAACCAAATGAAAACCCACAAAAAAGCTGATTTCAAGTGTCAGCTATAGATTTGAGCAGCCATCCAGTGCAGCCCATACTGAGCTCTCACATTAAAATCGAGTAACACATCCATCTGATTTTGGATGATGGGGATGGTCTTGAGGAGTTTCTCTGTGTTCATGGTTCTCATCACTCCATCAGACCTGTGGAGAGAAAGGTAAATGTAATCTCATACAAATGTCTTTGGGCTTCTAGTCTCAACTCTTCAGAATTTTGTACTGTGAACAGACATGGCTGATATTGTAGATAGGATTTTGTGGGATCATATGGACAGTACGAGTGAACACATCTCTCCTTGCAGAGTAGAATCATGTTCGACAATGCAATGTCCCAAATGCCAGAACGGAAATGGGAAAAGGGGCTTTTGTGTACGCTGCACCCTCATGGAATATGTTGCAGAATGATTTAAAACTCAAAGAACTGATACCACTTACTGCATTTAAATCTAAAATGAAAGAAATAGAGGCAGGTTCCCAAAAATATCAATGTTTTTTAAATGAACTCTGTTACATCACCTACTCTTAACTTTTAGTTTCTTTTAACTTGTCTTGTTCTATGTTTCCTGTCTGTAACCATGTGTTTCTTATGTTGCTGCCTGTCTTGGCCAGGTCTCCCTTGAAAAATATGTTTAATCTCAATGGGACTCACCTGGTTAAATAAAGGTTTAAATAAAAAATAAAATAAATGTCCAAATCTGCAACATTCCACTATAGTTACACTGCAATACGTCCTAAATATTCAGTAACATTAGGCCCAGCCCACCACAGAGCATGATTACATCTATTAACAGCAGAAGATTTGGTGGAAAAGAAAGTCATTAGTAGTCCGAGTATTTGAACTTTAAAATGATAAAGTGAAGCATAAACAGGAACTCTTTTACCGCCTAATGGTGCCGTAGAGGTCAAATGCTGCATATATCTGATGAGTTCATGTAACAAATAACAAAACTGTCCCAATGCATTTTGCAGGAAATACAACTTTGCAATGTTATCCTTTAGTATCATTCAGCCTCGTCTGCCACAGGGCTGAAGGATACCCTTCACTGGAGTTTCATGTTTCTGGAACAAGAGCATTAAGCTTTGTGGCTCAAGTCAACATCACAGTCAGAGTGAAAGTTAAGAAGAGAAAGCTCCTTACCCTCTTTTTACTTTCGTGAAGTCAAAAGCGACCTGTCTGTAGGACACAGCCTTCTCATTCAGGTAGCGGCTATACCTCCTTATGAACGTCGACATATCATAGCCTACATTGCAAAGAAAAGAAGAGAGGGGTGTCATGATGAATGTCATGACGCAGATGAGTTTTGGCTTATTGCAGCGCGTGTGTACAGTGTTGGTAATGTACCTTGTAGGCCACTTTTGTCCAAAAAATTGCTGAGGTTGAATAGTGTGTTTCTTGAGGCCAGATACTGTATAAATCTCTGCAGAAAAACAACATATGAGGAACAACAAGTGAGGCTTTTGAACAATGAAATTGTGGGGATGTAACGTACACCATAAAGGTGAGAAACCTTTATCAGATAAACAAATGCCCTTTGTGGAATTTCCATCCAATATAGCAAAGATGGAGAACAGTTGTTAGTGAAGTGCTGACCTCATTGCCGTAGACCATCAGATGGTGTGTAGCGGTGAGGGACTTGAACACAACCACCCAGCTGGTGCTGGCGGTCCTCTCAAACAGTGTGTCGGCCAGCTGAGGGATGTTCACATTCATCTCATTTGTGCACTGAATCAAGTCTGAGAGAGGAGAAAGAGAGAACGAAAGAACGTCAGAGGGAGCACACTGTTCATACCGCCATGCTGTCAACAATCATTACAATACTGGAGGGAAACGGAGAGCTGCTGAGTCAGAGTTTAGGTAAACAGAGACTTTCAGAACAAACTAAGACTTCTGGAAAGCAAAGGGACAGGAACATGCTACAAACTTGATGGGAGTGGATGTCTCATCAGTTGCTTGTTACTTTAAAACACACCACAAAATCAACAAATCTGAATATACAGATACATTTCACTTAAATGAATTTAGAGGAGGTGTTAGCAAAAGCAACAGGATGTATGGCATTATTTCAGAAGGTGAGATTACAATGTAAAAGGTATAAATGTTTATACCTACATCTGTTCGACTTTCTTTGTTGCCCTCGTTTTATTTTTTATAAATTCTTTTCTTGTTTATTGTAAACTTGTGTATGTACATTGAGAGCGAAGTGGAAACAGGAGTCAAATTCCACGTATGCGTAAAGCGGCCAATAAAGCGGGTTCTCTGATCCACACTGAGAAAACACCCGGTGTTATCATGGAAAAAGTCACGGTCGCTACCCAGTAAGTCTCCTTATTTTTCGCACTCATACCCACATGAGAGGACCTCTGATTTGTGGACTGACAGGGCATACATCCTCAGCATGTTCTGCCATGCCCCACAACCATCTGGCCTGAGGTGAAAGCAATTGCAGTGCCTCCTGGTTCCCATGGGACTGATCAATGAAGCCCGTTTATCAGCCCTCTCTCTCCGTGCTGTGTGCCCGTTCTTAAGCGCACATCTTGAACTTGACAATAACCTATGATGTCACAAGTTTTGATCCATTATGTGGCGAGTGTATGCTTGGAAACAGAAATATATGAAAGGTAAAAGCTTTAATATGTACTATGTTTTAGATGCATTCATATATCTTAACTTTTTTTAAACTGAGATCCCAGAGAACATCCTAAGTTTAAAATACTGAGTTAGATGAGAATGGATGCAGAAAAGGGGGATTAGGAGCCCAACTGACTGCTGTGTTCGATAGGGAAGCTTCAAACTGAATTTTGCTGTACTTGTACCATACATCTGTATTAACCAGTGGTGGGCCATGCATTTTATACCTGGGCCTTCACTGCTGTCCTGCAGCTGAAACACAGCTACAGTTCTTATTTGTTTCGTGTCAAAATGAAGCTCAACACCTATAGATCCACTAACTGCAGAGAATACGCCGAGAGTGCGTCTCCTCTCTGCTCTGACTGCAGCTGGGACTGCTGCGCGAGGCTTCTGTGAGACTGACCGGCTACGAGTGCTTTGGAGCACCCGCTGCTCGTTCACGGCAGTGCAGAACGTACGTGCTTTAACGTCAGAGTCAAAACACCAGAACAAGTCGCTAGTTAGCTTTGTTAGTAGCTTTTGACAAAAAAAGTCGCCACGAGGGTTTGGAAAGTTGCCAGATTTAGTGAACAAGTTGCCAACACCGGCACCGGCTAAATATGTCCCCAGAGCAACACTGGACGCAACAATGGTTCCTATCACATATTAAACCAAACAAAAATCTTCATAAAAACAAGTTGTACAAATAATAATATATAAACAAGCATCTTAAAGCTACTGCAGATGTAAAAACAAACGCATTTAACTTACCAGAGCTGCTGTTCACTATTTAAAGACAAAGTCCATCCTCCTTTCTTTGTTAACAAAGAGTTTAATCTCACGGTTGTTCAGTACATCCGTGCGTTTTAGTTCCAGTAAGAAGTCCTTCTCGATTCATGGATGCCAGTGAAGACAGTCGAGCCTCCCCAGTTGTATTTCTTGAATACCTTTTAATGCGTTTGAGGTTGAAAATGTCCGCTCGGCAGAGGCAGCAGATATTGGGATTGTCACCGCCCGACATGTCACACTAGCCCACTGACCAATCACGTATGGCCAGGCCAGCTAGCAGGCTCTGGCATGTCAAAGAATACGCCCAACATGTCAAACTAAAGATCTGATTGGTTGAAGACTATGACAATCAACAATATCGTCCCCATTCACTTAAACTGCACATGGATGCACTTGTGAGTCTGCAGGCCTCTGCCTCTGTTCTTACCTAGAGACACAGAGGTGAAATCTGATTGGATAAAAGCTCTACTTAAAACAAGCTGCACTGGAAGCAGAGCAACTGAGGAAGACAATAGCTGTGCAATGAGAAAATAAGATAATGGGAAAAATAATTTTATAAATTATAATACATGTAGTGTATTTAAGAAAAATTATTAAATTATAAAATAGATATAGCTTTGTGATTCTGTTTAGGCCAGCAGAGAAGGCCTTGAAGGCCCTGACGGCTCACCACTGGTATTAACGGGGCAGACTAACGGCACCACTAATTACATTTAAATAACCACAATAACACAAAATGATGACAAACAAAACTAAAATATGACAACAAACATTCAAAGCTTTATTTAAAAAAAAAAAAAAAAAAAAAATCAAAGCTTTGAATGTAAAAAAAAAAGGGGGAAAAAAAAAAAAAAAAAAAAAAAAGACATTCAGTAGAACCCTATCCATAACGTTACATTGTGGAGGCACAGTTGTGGTGAGCAGACATATGGAGAACAGAGATGCTGGTGGTGGAGAAGAGACGGAAAACTGGTTTGCTGTGAATCAATGGGGCTCAGTGGGTGAAACATGCTGCTCCACTGGAAACATCTCTAAACGCACAGTAGGGCACAGATTCAAGAGATGATAGTAAATTAGCTTAATATTGACGTTAACAAGCATTGATATGTGACCGCCAATCAGCACAAGCCTGTAGTCTATTGTGATTGAGTCCATATAGCAAATACACAAAAACAAGACATTATTCAACAAAGCCAAACGCATGCGAGCAGCAAACCTGCCTGGTTACTGAACAATGTAATCTGGATATATAATCAGATATCATCAAAAGAATATAAAATAATGTGACAGACTAAACTGAGAATGATCCCAGTTATCCAATATTCATTCCCATCAGATGTCAAAAAGAGGCTTGGCAGACAATGTAAATAAATATTTATGTGAATTTTATATTTGAAGGGAGATGAATGATCCTCTCCACCAATTCCTCAAGATGTGAAACAGAACACTCACAAGTTCCATTTTATATCCCCATTGCATATTTCTAATTGTGTTTTATTGGCTGTTGAATAACTGTAGACTCCAATTAGAGTGCACCAAAATGAGCTATGGATAATAAGAATGTTTGTAAGTGATATACTGTACACCAGACTACTGTCAACTTCAAACCACATCAATGAAACGAAAGGAATAGCTTGTTTCAGTTAATAGGTCATGTTAAGCGCGTGTGCGGCAGCTGTGCTGCCCATTGAGGCCTGTTTACATGGGTGGTCAACGAATCCTCCTCAGTGTTTGTTGAAAGCCACACAAAAGGCTTTTTACATTCACAATGGGCCACCCATGTGACAACAATGGCCTTGTTAGACACAAATTAAATAGTCTATGGAGAGTACAAACTCAGACTTTCTCCACTGGTGTTTCTGAAATCGGTTTTGTATAAGCTCAACTCATAACCTTGCAGCTCTTGCTCATCAGATAGACAAGTTATAATTGTCAAACTTCCCAGACTTTATATCTGGGGACCCACTTTTTAAAAATGACAAACTATTGGGACCCGATCCACAACAGGCCTCATCTATTAATCATGAGGAGCGAATTAGTGCGTAAATGAACGCTGCTCATGTGCCCTTATATTATCTTGAACAGGTAAACCACATATATCTGACCGAAGCCACTTCTTTCATCACGCTCAGATAAACCACATATATCTGACCGAAGCCACTTCTTTCATCACGCTCAGATAAACAAGTGGAAAAGTGGTCTTATGTACAGACAGACAAGCTCAAATTAAGTCTCCCTGCTTTCTTGTCCTTGTACATTCCAGGAGAATAGTGACATGCTGTTTTAAGTGTTCCGACTCCCAAATGCTGATTTTCATTTCATGGTCGCATTCTAATGTTAGCATCCAACTCAAGAAACTTCAGCTTAGACTGATCAAAGTTGAGCCCCTTGTGACAATGCAGCACTGAGATGTCCTTAAATGGCTAATGAACAGAGGACAAACGCTTCTGATTAGATAAAAACATGAGCCTACAGCTTCTCAGTGTGTATTCCAATACTGACATTAATCAGCAACTTGGCAGTCTGTAGTGAATCTTAAAATGATGTTAAGTAAAGCAGGAAATGCATTGAAAAAGAAAGAAATGGATGTGGAGGTGGCTAGTGATGTCATGTTAAAATAATTTATTGCAAGTAAATTATTAAGAATGGAACATGCGTCTTGGCCAGGTCTCCCTTGAAAAGAGATTGTTAATCTCAATGGGACTCACCTGGTTAAATAAAGGTTAAAATAAATAAATAAAAAATGTGAAGTTTACAGTGTGTCTGCACAAGGCTCAGGTCAGGGCTCATGTCTGTCTCAACATACACAAAAGAAATGACCAAAATGGTGAAAGGAAGACATGAGGTAAAAAGCCAAACATAGAAATGCTTGATGAATAGCTTAGCCATGAACGGACTTACACATTTGGCTCAAAGAGCCGCAGATAGACATGAACTCCAACCAACTGCTCCATTAGACTCAATGTTAAATCTCACCACTCATTTCTCAAAGAACGCAGACGGTACCAGTTTTGTATATTGCTCTGGAGCTCACATTATTAACACCACAAACATAAAAAACACATCAGCGCATTTGCCAGAGTCTTATCTTTCTCATGGTATCCATATTTTGGCACTCAGACTCCTGCTAATTTGTTAAAAGGAGTTAGGGGTTTTGTTCAAAATCAATGATTACTGCAACGTTTCTTAATCAGTCTGCCTCCAACACCAGGGGCGTCCTCACCATGGCAACCAGTTACACACACGCAGGCTCTCTCTACACACACGGAGATATTCAGTCAAAGGCATTGTTAAACCTCCTGTCTGTCTCTCTGCCTGTCTCAATCTACACACACGATATTCAAGGAAAGATCATTCGACCTCCTATCTGCCTGTCTCACTCACTCTCTCTATCATACAGTCATTCAGGTCTTAGATATTTTTAGAGGACTGTCTCCTCTCCCCCTCTCTCACCCACCCAGTCCCACCCTTTCAAAATAAAAGCCCCACAAATACGAGAGTAGCGCTATCTCAATTGAACCTGAATGACACTACCGGTAATGTGTGTAATTAAAAAAAAAAAAAACGCACACACACACTTGTGTGAAAAAGTGTTTGCCCCCCTCCTGATTTCTTATTTTTTTGCATGTTTGTCATACTTAAATGTTTCAGATCAAACAAATTTAAATATCAGACAAAGATAACACAAGTAAACACAAAATGCAGTTTTTAAATGGTTTTTATTATTAAGGGGGAAAAAAAATCCAAACCTACATGGCCCTGTGTGAAAAAGTGATTGCCCCTTAAACCTAATAACTGGTTGGGCCACCCTTAGCAGCAACAACTGCAATCAAGCATTTGCGATAACTGGCAATGAGTCTTTTACAGCGCTGTAGAGGAATTTTGGTCCACTCATCTTTGCAGAATTGTTGCAATTCAGCCACATTGGAGGGTTTGAGCATGAACCGCCTTTTTAAGGTCATGCCACAGCATCTCAATCGGATTCAGGTCGGGACTTTGACTAGGCCACTCCAAAGTCTTCATTTTGATTTTCTTAAGCCATTCAGAGGTGGACTTGCTGGTGTGTTTTGGATCATTGTCCTGCTGCAGAACCCAAGTGCGCTTCAGCTTGAGGTCACGAACAGATGGCCGGACATTCTCCTTCAGGATTTTTTGGCAGACAGCAGAATTCATGGTTCCATTTACCACAGCAAATGGAACCATCCAGGTCCTGAAGCAGCAAAACAGCCCCAGACCATCACACTACCACCACCATATTTTACTGTTGGTATGATGTTCCTTTTCTGAAATGCCGTGTTACTTTCACGCCAGATGTAATGGGACATACACCTTCCAAAAAGTTCAACTTTTGTCTCGTCAGTCCACAGAGTATTTTCCCAAAAGTCTTGGGGACCATCAAGATGTTTTCTGGCAAAACTGAGACGAGCCTTTATGTTCTTTTTGTTCAGCAGTGGTTTTTGTCTTGGAACTCTGCCATGCAGGCCATTTTTGCCCAGTCTC